GTCCAGACTACAACTCAGTCTGTTCTCACACTTCGCGTCCTTGCCTCAAAAGCCCCAGTATCGACAAGACCTCAGACGACACTAAATACCATCGCCCCTCTACTCAGAAGTCCCAAAAAATCCACCTTGGTCAAATCTTCTTGCCCCTTCCTTCCCTTCTTTCCCACCTCCAACACTTAACCTTTCAGTCCCTCTGTACCTAGTTCTTCCCCTCTCTCATGGCTCTATTACAAGTGTGGAGATTCACCCTCCTCCCTCGTACTATGCCTTCCACCCCCGTCTCCCCTCCAAGTTTCCTCCCTCTTCTGTCACCTCCCAGGTTTCTGCCTCTCTGTCCCCCCCCCACACTTCATCTCCCCAGTCCCTTACACTTTTCCCTCCCCCTCTACTTTGGTACAGTTTCATTACTGTCCCAATCTTAACTCACCCTCCTCCTCTTATCTCCAATAGGTCTCCCCATACATCTTTGAATTCAGAACATCTTGAAGCCATTGCAAAATATATTGCAGAGGACTAAACCTTCAATGACACTGATTCACTTCCCTGTTCCTTCTCTTCCCTTCTCCTCCATCTTCAACAACCCATTCTTCGCAACGCTCCTTCCTTCGCTATCTTGAACATCTTCCAATGCCACCACACGTTGACTTTTCTAACCCCTCTAGTCCGTAGGTGCCTTTACCTACAGATTCCTGATATATTCTCATCGCCTATCATGGCCTATTTAAGGGAATATCGCGGCCTCAGGGTAATCGGGTGAGCTTCGATGTCGCTTCCCAGGTTTTTCCCTGTTGGTGCTTGCTTACAAGAACCAAAATTACACTCGGCCTGATTTCCAACCTATCTCAGGCTATAATTTTATTGTAATTCTTCGTGATCCTTTCCCTCAGAGGGACCTTTAATGAAAGTCCCCTTCTTCAACGCAATGATATTCCCGTACTGTCAACTATTTGTCCATACCTCGCTGCATTAACCTGCAGCCGTATCCACTATGAATAAGTGGTTTACAATATGTTCTTTATATCTCTCCTCCTTCTCGAGCATTTCTATCCCCAGACTTTGCCTTTCTTGTTTCATCCTTACCACCACCACTTCTGTACTTGGTGATTTTAATGCCCACCATTTTCCCTCTGGGGGGGGGCCTCTTGTGACTCACGTGGCATTCAGTTGGAGGCTTTCTTGTGCCTCTACACCCCCGCCATGTTTAAAAATACGGGTATTTCTCCCCACCCATTTTGATCTCGACTCATACTCTCTCTTGCATCGATCTATCAGTCTGCTCTTCCTCCAATGCAGCTAAGACTTCACCTGGTCTGTTTCTACAACTTACATGACAGCGATCATTTTCCGATCATCTTACTTCACCTTCCTATTTCACCACCTTTCCGTAGCCCTCGCTGGCAATTTGATCGGGCAAATTGGCATCTTTACTCACACCTCACTGCTTTTAGTGAGGTTTCTTCTTCATCCTCCATTGATGAGCTCCTATCACATCTTCTCGACATCAGTTTATACCGCAGCTTCTCATTCATAACCTCCAAACCTCAGGCAGTCATTCTCAGGAAGTGCGTTGCCTTGGTTGGTCTCCTGCTTGTGCTCGTGCATTACGTTCTTTTGAAACTGCTTGCATGGGCCAGGTACCGGTACAAAAACCGCTGAGAGACTTGTTGATTTTAAGCAGAAGCGTGCATCGCCGCTGTGTCATCCGTGAAGCAAAACGCCTTGTTGCGAACTATGTTTCCAACCATCACCTCTGCTTCTTCTATGAGTGCAGTCTGGAAAAAAAGTGAGGAAATTTGAGTGGTCAATACTCTCCGGAACCCGGCTCCTGTTTCTACGGGTCACTGGTGTTGAATAGCAAACCCTCCCTCGACGTTGCCATTGAACTTGTCACCATCTGGTCCGTATTTCCGAGGGCTCTCCATCTATGCCCCCTCGTTTCATTCCTCAAAGTCTGCCAGAGAGTTAGTACCCTTGGACTTTCTTCTCTCGGATGAAGAACAGTAATAATGTGCCTATTACACTATTAAAGAGAACTGGAGGCAACGCCTCTCAAGCTTGCCGATCATGGTCAGCAGGGCCTGATGACATTCATATTCGTATGTTACATTTACATCGGTCAGCCCTTGTAGTCCTCTTACACCTCTTCAATCTTATTTGGGCACAAGGAGTTCTCCCAGCTGTGGAAATCTGCCATTGTTCTCCCTTTCCGCAAACGGGTACTACAGGACATGATGCCTCCCACTATCGCCCCATCGCTCTTACTAGTCAGTTTGCAAAGTGATGGAAGCCTCGTAAATCGACGTTTAATGTGGTATTTAGAGACTCACAAACAGTCTCTCCGCTAGTCAATAGGCTTTCGAAAGGGGTCTTTTCTACCATAGACCCCTTACTACGCTTGGATAACGTAAATTTCGTAATGCCTTTGCGAATAATCACTCAGTTATTGCCATAATTTTTTGACCTTGAGAAGGCATACGCACAACTTGGAGGTATAATATTTTTTTGGCCCAGGCCCATTCCTTAGCCTCCGAGGCAATCTACCATCCTTCCTTAAGAACTTTTTAACTGACAGACATTTCCGTGTTCGAGTCAATAATGTTCTTTCCCCGGACTTCGTCCAACTGAAGGTTCCCTCAGGGATGTGTTCTAAGCACAACACTTTTTCTCCTTGCTATAAATGATTTGGCCTCTGTTCTTCCACCCAATATTTGGTCATCACTGTGTTGATGACTTCGCTATTGCTTGTGCAGGCGCTGACTCACCTTATTGCAGTTTCTCTCCAGCATGCGGTCGACCGGGTTTTTTCCAACTGGGCCACCACACATGGGTTTAAATTTTCAAGTACCAAAACTCACCAAATTACTTTCACTAGATGCTCTGTTATCTCCGATCATCCTTTGTATCTCTATGGCTCCCGTATCCCCGAACGTGATAGTCAGGTTTCTAGGCCTTCTTTGACCGTCGGTTAACCTGGAAACCTCACATTACCTCTCTGAAGGCAACTTGTCACAGCCGGCTAAACCTTCTTAAAAACCCTTGCTCACTTTCCTGGGGACTGATCGTCGAACTCTGCTTCGCCTACTTTCAGCCCTCTTTTTATCGAAACTCGATTATGGTGACCAGATTTATTCCGCGGCCTCTCCGCTACTCTCTTTTAGCCTTAACTCTATCCATCACCAAGGCTTACTTTTGTGCCTTGGTGCTTTTCGCTCTTCCCCTGTTGAGGCCTCTATACAGAAGCAAATGTTCCATCCTTGTCTGATCGCCGTGATGCCCATTGCCTGCGCTACTATGTACGCTCTCATGATCTCCGCAATCCTTCCATTTTTTAGAATGGTCACGATATTAGTAGACATTATTTGGTTCGCCGCCCCGTTTACTTCCTCCTTCTCTCTTCGCCTTCATTCACTCTTGTCTTCTCTTCAACTACCACCTTTCTATGTCATGTAGCATCTCACTTTTCCCTACCCCCCCGGGGAAATTCCAGCTGTTCGAGTGTTTCTTCTCCCCTCCCCTTTCTCGAAAGCCCAACTGTCTACGGTCGCTTCCCACTCTTTTTCTTGACCACTTTCACTCTCATTCTCATGCCATTGCTGTGTACACAGATGGCTCGAAGTCTTCCGACGGCGTAGGATTCGCAGCAGTGTTTCCGGACAGCGTCGTACAAGGGCATTTACTATCTTCGGCCCCTCAAGGAAGGTTCCTTGATGTTGGTGAGGGGCTCTTGATTTAGGGAATTGGATCTGTGCTCCAGTTCCCCGAATTAAGCCTGAATGCCTTCCACATCCCCCCCCCCCCAGGCGCTGTATAATCCTCCGGGTTTAGCGCTTCCCCCTTGATTATAATAATAATAATATCTTCGGCTAGTATTTTTACTGCCGAATTATATGCCATCCTTACAGCACTTATCCGCATTGCATCTATGCCTGTGTCATCATTTGTGGTTGTCTCAGACTCCCTTAGTGCTTTACAGGCTATACAAAAATTTGATACACCTCACCCCTTAGTCCTCCGTATCCAACTTTGGCTACGCCGCATCTTTACCAAGCATAAAGATAGTTTTTTGTTGGGTCCCTGGTCGTGTTGACGTACAGGGCAATGAACAGGCAGACACTGCTGCGCGGTCAGCAGTACATGACCTACCAGTTTCTTATAGAGGTATTCCATTTACGGACTATTTTGCTGTAATATCTTCCCACCTTCACACCAGTTGGCAACAACGTTGGTCTACTATGCTCGGCAACAAACTTCAGTCTATTAAACCGAGTATAGGTTACTGGCCGTCTTCTTATCACCAGTGTCGAGGTTGGGAGACTACTCTCTCCCGTCTTCGCATTGGCCATACTCTTCTTACTCATGGATATCTCATGGAGAGGCGTCTTGCTCCTCTGAGAATTGCCAAGCTCCATTATCAGTCAGCCACATTCTGTTGGACTGCCCACTTTATCAACGAGCACGCAGAATTTACCTCAGTCGTCGTTGTCTTCGCTCCGCTGCTCTCTCTACCTTCCCTTCTCGCTGATGGACCCACCTTTCATCCGGACTCTCTCATTGACTGACAACGACTGACTGACTTCACAAATTCTGATACTTTCAGCCCATTCTACTTCAATCTCTTGCTACCCACTATCCCCTGCCCGCTGTTTTCTGTAACCTGCTGATCATCCCCCCTCCCTTCTGCCATCCAATTCCCTTGCTTCCTTCCCTACCCTGCAGCGCTGTATAGCCCTTGTGGCTTAGCGCTTCTTTTTTGATAATAATAATAATACGGGTTAAATGAAGGCGCAAACCAGTTGTGGAAGTTGGGTAAATAGCACATGTGACTAGGGCCATGGGTGAAACTTGGACCAGTAAAGTGTTCCCTGTTGCAGGAACAATTTTTGGGGGGAACCCCTCCAACTTTACCTTGGAAGGGCCCTTACTAGCAACTTCAAAATTTAAAGTTTCCATGAAACACTCCAAAATTTAAACTTTTGAAGGATACAAAAGAATTACCAGGCATTAAAAAGAAATTTATTTAGACAAGTTGACATCCTACTATTAAATCATACAAAACTTTTAAGTAATCAAAGTTTTTTTTTTCCATAATTGCAACACCTGATGCAACAAAAGATTTTGAGCACTTTCAATTACAAAAATTACTTTGAGCCATGCTGGCAATGCCTACCAATGTGGTTCAGTTATATAAAGCTTAACTAATGAAAATTCATAGAAGTGACTTATCCACATGTAAAGACATAACATACAAATGGAAGAGCTTCATGTAATACTAAACTTGTCTGCCAACACGTAGCAGCAGGTGACACTGGTAATGTTATAGGGGCAGCTCAAATTCAGGTGTTTAGGGGCCAACAATGATTTATCTAAATCTGAGAGCCCAAATTAGCTACTTACACTTAAACTGCAATTAACCAGTACTGGACTTAGATGGCACTAGTTTACGGTTCTAGGCATGAACATTCCAATGCCTCTTCAAGGGTCTTTAAGTAGTGTCACTGATCACAGCAAGGTAGAGCTTCAACCAGTGCACAACTGCTGCCACCCACCTACACACCAACCAATTTAACTGTAATCAAAATAAATCACAAGTATAAAACAATGAGTCCCCTGATGCTGCATGGGTAGCATAGTAACAGTTGCGGCCCGGGCATGACTAGGGCAGCATTACCGCAGTGCGGGTGGTGCTGATGGGCCCCTCACATTGCAGTGGGGTTGGCCAGAACTGAATCCAGTGTAAAACTGGGGTGTTGTGACAATACATAGAACAAGGGCTGCTTAGTGAGGGGCCTCTCATCGCAAGCTTAGGAACGATCTGTCGAGCGACACTTTTCCAACACGCACTCGTACGATGCTTCAGCCATGTCAGTAGCCTGAAAAAAAAAATTTAAAAACATGATTAGGTACTCCAGTCCTGAAATGGGGAAATATCTTAAACTTCCATTCTATCAAAAATAAACTTAATATGGTAACTACTAAAATCTTAATGGTCAGTTTTACTTTTCCATCAAAACCGCATGGAGCATTTTTTTTTTCATATCCTGTGAATGTGCCATACAGACCCATTCTCTGAAAAAATATTTTGCTGATCTGAATAGAGACTGCTACACAAGGGACTACCTCAATTCAGCACTACACAACAGCTACAGTCCCCCCCCCCCCCAGCACTATTATTTAAACAAAATTTACAAATTTCCCTACTAAACTGTATTAAGGAATTAAATATTAAATATCCCATACCCATGTTACATATCTGCCTTGCCTAAAATTTAGACATCAGGGAAATTACCTCCACAATTTATGCCGAATACTGGGTTTGTTCCTAGGAAAGTACCCCTTCCAAGAGAAGTATCTTTGTAACAATCACTGCATTTAGAAATTTAGTTCTGTGAAACTACACAACCCATTTGCTGCCTGGTTTAATTTTAGATTTTATATGAACTAGTGAAGTAGCCCAGCACTGGCCAGGTAAAATTTTAAACTGTAAACTAAGTCTTCCATCAAGATAAAACCAACTTCCAATTAATGATAGCTTAACAGACATGCAAGCTTTGCTAGTTTGTCTTCTCCCCACCAACCTGAAGACAAGCAGACCCTCTATCAGGTGGCAGGTATCAATTTTAAGGACCATCAAAAAAAAACAAAGCTAAACTAACAGAAGTTAAGCAGGTTAGGCTGGCAATTTGCTACAAAAATTGTATAGTTCTTGAATAGGAAACCAACTAACTCAAGATTTGATGCCCAAGGATTAGCTCCAATAAAATTTTGGACACCAATCTTAAATTAAAATTTATGCAATTAAGTGCAATAAATTGCTCTTTCCTCCCCTAGAGACAATCCCTAAGATTTGGCTGCCTATAACCTAAATCCTGCTCCTGGGTTAAAAAGCTCATGAAAAGTTTGATTACACTGGCTTAATAGGAAGTCAGACCATTTAAATACAGTAGCAAGAGTTTTTGCTAGGGAAAACACCACTAAAGGGTAGCAATAAACCCATTAGGGGAGGGGAATTAGAAGTTAGGTCCAGTTCATATGGAAAAATTCCTTTGATCACCCTGCTAAAGGATTTAACGACATGAAACTTTCTAAACGCTGCTTAATATTTTGCCACATTAACCCTTAAACTGTCCCAACAGATTTACGTTCACATGCGTAGTGCTCCATATATATTTTTTCCACTTTCAAATACAGTGGAACCCCGCCTTACGATCAGCTCCCAACTCGAACAATTATGCAAGTATTTTTGCAAGTGCTTTTGTATGTGTATTTTTGGGGGTCTGTAACCGACTAATCTAATTTACAATATTCCTTATGGGAACAAATTTGTTCGGTAACAGCACCCGAACAGACTTCTGGAATGAATTAATATCTGAAGTCGGGGGTCCACTGTATAAATTTTTTTTTTTTTACAAATTTTCAAATGTAAAAGATCTACATTTTTTACATACTTTCAAATGTTGAAAAAGCATAGATCTATGTTTGGACAGTTTAAGGGTTAAACTGTCCAAACTTCTACATTTGCTCGCACAGTGCTCCAACCGAACGTAAACGTAGATCTATGTTTGGACAGTAGAAGGGTCAGAAAAAAATTTGAAGAGCCAAGTCAACTCATTCTAGTACTGAAATTTCATCAATCAAGGACCCTAACTTTTTTGCCACCTTCAAAAGGCAAGCCACCACTACTTTTGCCACCTCCAGGACCAAGTCACTAGTCCCCATCCCAAGAATTTATTCATAAATTTTCCTCACTAAAACCATGATCACATTCCTGCTGGATGCTGAAGAAAATTTTCAACCCTACCTGGCTCAACCCCTACCTTTTATTTCAGTCGAGCTTTGATCCCCCTTTTCAACAACCTGTCCTAACAGCCTTGCACCAATGAGATTTCCATACTGCTCTGAACACCTACACCAGCATTGGCACCAATAAGCTACATACCCCTCTGCCTTAACTATGACCTCAACATCCATCCTTCAATAATTTTTCAGATTTCCAACATTATAGAACTGTGGCAAACTGCCACAGTTTACCCCTCCCCCCAAACTTCCAATAACAATCATGCCAAAAACTTTGGTAGAAAGTAAACAAGTATACGAGCTTCCCACACTAAGCTGCTACTTCTCATATTAACTATTGTACCATCTTTCTATTACCAATAGTTCTGCCAATCCTGTCTAGGAAGTCTGGGGTACAAAAAAATCAGTCTGTACCTGGATCAGCTGTAAGTATCCATCTTCAGTCAAAGCCCTATGCAGTTCTATGGAATAACTTAATTTTCACCTTTTTCAAGATGTCTAGATTACAAATAACTGCTGAAGCTGTTACAACCCTACTAAAGTCTAAGTCTGGGAATCTTAATATGCAGAATAGAAGTGACAGTCTACAGAAACCTCAAAAATGAACAGCAGGAGGGAGAAGGGAAGAGTTCAAAGCTCTGCTCTTAACTTTTGCATACCATCTGCAGCCAACATTTACCTGCAAATTTCTACCAGGGAAGGGAGGGATACCCTAAACTAGAAATGGGGTGAAAAATAAGTGGGAAGAAGCCACCATAAGATTGGGTGCCTGGGAATACAAGTTCTTAGAAACTTGCAATTCATTTAATCAACGTGCTTCACCAGCATCAAGGAACCTTCCTGTCAGGGAACAAACTCCTTATTGCAACCAATTTTAGTCCCACAAGTCAACTAATTACAGAATAGTACATGTTAAGCATCAATTAAATTTTTTTAGTTTAAGGAGGAATTTCTAATGCCAGTTAGAATGTCATTACTGTTACCCTTAAAACTGATTTTGAAACTGGCATTTCCCCTACTGTTGCAAAGAACCTAATGTAAACGGAAGTTTCCATTTATCAGAGGGCTAGAGAAATTAGGTTCAATTGAAGTTTCTAGAGGCCACTATCTAGATGGCAGTGAACTTCAGTAATGTACTGTTGTCACAACAGAATTGGTTTGTCACTGCACAAGCTTCACAAAAAAAAAAAAAGTTTTGAACACTTTTCTTTACTACCTTAGATGCTAATTCAAGTCATCACAAAACCTTACCTGGATATATTTGCCAACGCCTTCCAAGGCATGTTTAAGGGCATCAAAGCTAGAAGAATATAACATTTTCTTCTTTATCTTTGCAGTATCTGGGCACCAAGACATGAGGAATAATTTCTGCTTCGTTGTCTGGAAGTAGGAAGAGAAACATTCAGTTAATCACGAAGTTTCACCAACAAGGGCAAAAATAGTTTCTAAACAAGGAACTACATTCTAAGAGTGGAACCTCAGCTTACAAGTTTAATCAGTTCTGTGATCTAGCTCTCATCCCGATCTGCCTGTGTGCCAAGTCAATTTTTTTCATCTAAATTAACTGAAGCGCCATTAATCCGTTCTAGTGGAATTCCTGCTTTCAAGAGACAGGACAAAATATTCTCAATATAACCATTATGGCTTTTATCTATCAATTCATCTAATACGACAATACGAGTAACAAACCAGATACTCTAGAATGAATAAAATACGTCTTTGTGACAAGTGGAGGCAGCTATTGTTGCGGTATTCACTGATCGTGCGACTGCCTTTTGAAGTTAATTACACAGTGGACCCTCTTGGCCAAAATCCATTCCAGAAGCTTTGCCTAAAACCAAAGTAATATTTCCCATAAGAATTGTAAAGAATTAATCCATGCCAGAAAAAAAAATTCACCAAAACTAATTAAATCAGTATTACACGACTACTGAAGACTAATGTTGGCTTCTGGCATGCCTGCTACACTTCAATTCCATGGCGCTTCTAATTTTTACCACAAACTTTACTAGGAACTTTCATTGGAGCCATGGTTACTTTTTTTTTGCACTGCAAAAACCCCATAATGGAAAAACAAGCGAAATGTTTGGATGTATGAGCAGAAGCTTCCTCACGCACCGAAAGAGCCAAATTGACACTAGCAGCCCCAGCCAGTGGATGGACACATCTGAAATGGCAGCCTATCACCAGGAGCCGAAAAACCGGCTAATCGCCTAGATGACCGACAATCAAGGGTCTACTGTACATATTATAGGTCTGTCCACATTTGTGGGCTTCGAATATTAGCGAATGCCTAACTGCCCAATCATTTAAAATGCCATTACATATGTAATTACATGTCATTACATTATGTAATAGCACACAATGCATGATAAAGGAATAATGGGAAAAGTGGGGTAGATAGATCTACAGCAGTAATAGTAAACAGAGCAAAGTCCCAGGCAGCCACAGTAAAAAGATGTTCCACAAGGCACAGTACTCCCATTTTATTCCTCATCCTAATTTCTGACATGCAAGCCATAGCTCTGACTTCCTTTGCAGAAGATACCCGGATTACCATGGCAGTGACCTCCATTGAAGACACTGCAAGACCAAGTGGACATCAGCCAAATCTTCGAATGGGCCACTCGAAACAGTATGAAGTTAAACGAAGAGAAATTTCAACTCCTCAGGTATGGGAAACTGAAAAAAATGTGTGGGTATACAAATTCTTACCATCCAATAGAGTGGAAGAGTAATGTGAAGGACCTGGGAGTAATAATGTTAAAGGATCTCGCCTTGAAAGATCACAATTTATCTACCTCATCTGCTAAAAATGATAGGATGGATAATGAGAACCTTCAAAACTTGGGATGCCAAACCCACGATTCTTCAAATCTTTTTGTGCTCTAGGCTGGAATACTGCTGTACAACAGCCCCCCCTTCAAAGCTGGTAACACTGCAGACCTGTCGAGTGTACAAAACTTCCACAGCACACTTTAGTACAAGACACCTAAACTACTGGGAACTTCTGAAGGTCCTTTATCTATATTTCCTCAAATGCAGGCAAGAAATAATGTACACTTGGAAGGTCCTGGAGGGATTGGCACCAAATTGAACATGAAAATCACTCCCTATGAAAGCAAGACTTGGCAGGAGATGCAACACTTCCCCCCCCCCGACGAGAATACGAGTGTCTGGGGGGCCCCAAGACTTCAATTTCCTCCCAGCATACATAAGGGGTCTATTGACCCCTGGCTGTCTTCAAGAAGGCACTGGAGAGCTAATCAGTACCTAACCAACCAGGCTGTGGTTTATATGCCAGCTTGCATGCAGCCAGCAGTGACAGCCTGGTTGATCCAACCCTGATCCACCATAAGGCCTGGTCTCAGACTGGGGCATTGACCCCTGAAACCCTTTCCCAGTAATCTCCAGGTAATGAATTGTGGTGGTGGCAGCCGAGTTTGTTTGGAGATACGGCAAGATAGTCCTTCAATGACACTAATAACTATGGCTTATTTAGCAATCACAATTCATCCAACATGACAAACTAAAAAACACGACATACTCTCGAATGTCATTAAGCACGTCAAGTGTTGTTGCAATGGGCGTACAAAGGCCACTGAAAGATTAGCCTTACATAGTGGTGGGGGCAGCAGCTGTGGCAGTAGAGACTGCTGTGTCAGTAGCCTTGTGCAACTCCAACATTGGAGTTAAGTTCGTGCCTTTTTTTTTCTATCGATTAATCTCTTTACTTACTACATTGTTAATGCTACATTATCAGTGGCTGGTGCTGTAACCAACTCGCTGGTTTAGTACTGTACGTATCGTAGAATCACTGAAGGCACATTCTCCCCTTTGTTCCTCCACATTACTACCAGTTTTCTTGAATTCTATAGTTTCAGCTTTACCAAGTACAATATATTTTACGATGTTTGAGAGTTTAACGATTTTTCATGGTTCAATAGGTTAAAGAAGTAGTATTGTTAGACTAAGTAAATGCTATTATATTTCCCTACAATACATTTGTGCACCAAACATTCAAGAGGTTCTCAATACCCTAACCCTCACGAATGAAGGAGAATTATTATTGTACAGTGGACCCCCGCATACCGTCGGCATCACAACGTTTAATCCGCATACCGCTCGCTTTTATCGCAAAAATTTTGCCTCGCAAACCGCTCAAAAACCCGCTCACCACTGTTTGTCCGAGACGCGTCCAACGTGCGCCCTTAGCCAGCCTCACATGTGCCGCCGGTGGCATTGTTTACCAGCCAGCCTCCGCGGTAACATCCAAGCATACAATCGGAACATTTCGTATTACAGTGTTTTTGGCGATTTTATCTGCAAAATAAGTGACCATGGGCCCCAAGAAAGCTTCTAGTGCCAACCCTACAGCAATAAGGGTGAGAATTACTATAGAGATGAAGAAAAAGATCATTGATAAGTACGAAAGTGGAGTGCGTGTCTCCGAGCTGGCCAGGTTGTATAATAAACCCCAATCAACCATCGCTATTGCTCCTGCACCGTCGGCTGCTGCACCGTCGGCTGCTGCTGCTGCTGCTGCTGCTGCACCACCGTCAGCTGCTGCTGTAGCACCGTTGTTGGTGTGGCTTATTGAGAATACCAAGAAACAAGTAACCCCAGAGGATTTGCCACCCAGGATAACCCAAAAAAGTCAGTGTCATCGAAGACTAACTTATTTCCATTGGGGTCCTTAATCTTGTCTCCCAGGATGCAACCCACACCAGTCGACTAACACCCAGGTGAACAGGGAAAAATGCCTGGAACTAGTGCTCATATTGGTGAATTTAAAGCCAGCAAAGGTTGGTTTGAGAGATTTAAGAATTATAGTGGCATACACAGTGTGATAAGGCCTGTTCTGGAAGAAAATGCCAAACAGGACCTACAGTACTCAGGAGGGAAAGGCACTCCCAGGACACAGTCTCATCAGTCATTGCTGCATCTTCAATAAAGGTAAGTGTCATTTATTCTTCATTTAGTATAGTACATGCACAATATATATTGTGCATGTACTACTATTGTGCATGTATCCTTCTCTGTGTGTGTAGGAAAATGTATATTTCATGTGGTAAAATTTTTTTTTTCATACTTTTGGGTGTCTTGCACGGATTAATTTGATTTCCATTATTTCTTATGGGGAAAATTCATTTGCATACCGATCATTTCGCATAACAATGAGCCCTCTTGCACGGATTAAAATCGCTATGCGGGGGTCCACTGTACTTAATCTTTCAACAAACTGGCCATATCCCACCAAAGCAGGGTGGCCCAAAAATAGCTTTTTTAACTTTAGTACGTAATGTATACAGAAGGGGTTATTAGCCCCCTTGCTCTTGGGCATTTGTCTCCTTACAGCACATATGGCTTCGAGGAAGAATTCTGTTCTACTTCCCGTGGAGATAGAAAATGAACTAGCAAGAAAAAAAAAAAGAAAAAACTCAGTGGGGTGTATACACATACACTTGCATGTGTAGTGTGACCTAAGTAGCAATACGTACCTGAAATCTTGCACGTTTATGATACAGAAGACACCAGCAATCCTACCATGTAAAACAAATACAGGCTTTTGTTTTACACATTTGGCAGGACAGTAGCTCCTTCCTGGGTGGTTTGCCTTCTACCTACCTACCATTATATTATAATGGGGGAAGCACTAAACCCATAGGATCATACAGCACCTGTGGAGGGGTAGGGGATGGAAGGTATTCAGGCTTAATTTAGGGAACTGGAGCACAGAACTCCCTAGATCAAGAGCCCCTCACCAGCATCAAGGAACCTCCCGAGTGGGTAGTTTGCATCCTGAATTTTGGCTCGTCCAGAAACTAGAAAATAGAGCGATGGCTCTTATACTAAAAAAAAATGAGAATGCTGGGTCACTTGAGCCGAGGTTCACTGTATATATAAAAATTGAATGTTAAAATTATAGCTAAAATACTTAAGATTGTGGCAAAACTACACTCAGGAATAATGTTCATGCAAGTACTGATGCTGCAAAACCAAGGTGTGGCTTGACTCTTGAAACTAAGGTCACTATTGCAAACAAACCATACTACAGGTGGAAATTGAACCTTTTATACAACTCGGTTTAATCCCCCACCTGTGGTATGGTGGATTGTGGCTTTAACAAATGCCATTAGAAGAACCCTACAAAATACTGCCAATAATGCTTAACAATATATTATTGCAATGTGAAAGCAAACAGTTTGTAACTTACATCTGAAGTCCCCTGGCACGCATGCTCGTACTCAAAGTCATAAAGACCATAACGGCACTGATCTGGCCCCACATTACTCAGGTGCTGTAGGTAATCATCATATGCAGCATCTCTATCACCATACTGAAAAGTAATACTGTATGAACTTCACAAAATATTTTCCAGACATTTCTGGGCAAAGGAAAAATTCGAAATGGCTTAATAGGCAATTTTAATTCTCACTTTCAAAAGGTTTATAAAGCATGTGCATTATTTGGCAATTTTAACATTACAATATCTTCAGAGGCTGATACTGTTAAGCTAGAATACTCCACCACATGCTGAGCATCAACTAACCGTTTCAATGCAGATTTCTTTATCATCTTTTATGTGGAAGATGATGTATCTATACTTCTTGCCCTTTTTGATCTCTGTATATGCTTGATGGATTTCATCTGATACTTTCACCCCGGACGCCTGTAACATGAAATTCAGATTTACAAGTGGGATCCTATGAGCAGAGCACTAATTTTTAACTAGCACCTATTTCACTTTCTGGGAGTATACTAATTAGTTATACTTAGTAAAATCAAAGCTCCACAAACTATAGGCAATTTAATTTCAGTCTGAATGCACGTGCTGATTGTTGTGTATATTCACGAGGGAAAGGGGAGGGAGGGGGATGTGAAGCGCCAATAAAGTCAAACTTTTGGAAAGACGTTTGATCCAACGAGATCAGGTCCAATTTATTTAACCAAGAGCTCGCCAACAAAGAAACCAAGAGTGGATGCACTTGTGGCACAGACTAGCAAAGTCAGGTCCAACACTTTAAAAGTTAAAAATCAAACTGACTGATTGTAACCAGGCACTATGTACAGAAGTATATGGTAGGCAACTGCTCATTAAATACAGCAGCAAATCTTAAACCACCTATGTAAACAAGTGCCAGAAGGTGCACACTACTTGGGTGGGAGAGGTTAAGATTTTTGGAAGACATGCTAGTACCAGCAATTGCGTGGCATGATAAACTAGCTAATTTGATATACATATTGCATATGAAAGGAGTGGGATGCTCATTTATCATTCAAAACTGAAGTTGAGACACTAGCAAAATGGTAAGGCTGAACTATGGTAGGCTTTAAACAAGCCCCCCCCCCCAAAAAGGGAGGTTCAAGACCCCTTTCCCTCTAATGAACAGGATCTATTATCAATTTTCATATAGAAAACCAATTGCAGCACCTGATCTAATAAAGTTTATTAATTGCATGGAAAACCAGCACTTGTGTAAAATTAAATTGGAGAAAACTCCAGGGATGGGTCCAACAAATGGTTTACCAGGTGGCAAAAGGCCATGTAGAAAATATTCAGAGCAGGAGGGGTTTCTTTCTCTGGTTGAGCATTAGAGAAAACTACGAATCTGCGTCTGGCTTTCGTTTACAATTCTCGGGATGAATTACTCATTACTTCTCCCTTTGGTTATGATGGCATCTAAAGGTAGTTCAGAAAAACTGAAGGCATGTTGATGGTAATATGGCTCTGGGCCACAAATATTGTATAGGTATGTAGCCTATGCTACCTACATCTACCAGCTACTTAGCTCATTCAGGTATACACAAATAGTTATACATAGCAGCATGTGCAGAGAACCTAGGATAACCCAAAAATGTCAGACTTCCTACAAAAAAGTACTACTCACCTCTCACCCTACATAAAGATTAAATATTTAAAGGTGAGTAATGAATGTGGAAGAGTTGGTGAATGACCACATGTTAGAGCTAACCACTGAAGAGCCAGAACACTAGTTAATCTTAAAAAATTGTTAATATTTTTGGGTGTCAAACTGATTGTATTTACATTTCTCATGGGAAAAATTGTTTTTGCAAGATGACCTGGAATGCAATGAGTGAAAACCAGGGTTCCACTGTACTCTTGAAAAAACAAGGAAAGAGTAATACTGTAATATATGGTATATACTGTATATATAACCCAGTAATTTCATAAAAAATTTTTATTGGTCTAAGGACATGTATAATGTACTTACAGTGGACCCTCAAATTTAATCCCTTTTCTGTATGTAAAACTATTGTTCTCTATAAAATTTATTTTGTTAATGTTTCTCATCCCACAAGACAATGTAAATCCAATTAATCCAGACACCCAAAATTACCAATTTTAGAGAAAATTTTACATACAGAAAAGGGATGATGAAATTCAAGGGTCCACTGTATTTAAAAGGATTTGGACTGGTCATTTTTTAACCACCGACACTTATTTGCTGGTAGGGAAGCTGGTTGTGGAACAACTTTGTTCCTTCGTTTACTTTTGCTACGAGGTAATAGTAGACCCTACTGGCCTTCTGATTGTTTTTTTTTTCCAAACTTAAGAATACTATATGAAAGGATCCAGAGGTTTACCAGAGGTAAAATATTGGCAGGTGGCAGATGTGTAGGTAAAAAATAATGGTGCATAATTTTACACAGGACAGCTTAAAGTGTAAGCTACTTCTGGTCATGAAACCAACCAAAAATGATCTGTGCCGTTCTATCAAACTATAGAAAAAAAGCCAATAAAACCAATCTTATAACTGCCTATAAAGTTGATTTTATGGTATCCCATAGCGTGACCGCTAGCACAGTTCACATTCAGGGGTCAATCCCCTGTACAGGTCAAAACACAGGACACGTTTCAAGACATTTGCTGTCCAGGTTCGACTATTGGTAAAATGAGTGCCTGGATTAGTCAATGTGTGGATTGCATCCTGGGAGACTGGCCTAATTTGGCCAAAATGTGAGAACAAGGGGCTCTATAAAGTATCACTACTGTTTGCTAGGCCTGTAACTTTTACACGTGCTTTTAGAAATAGCACAACTAACCTAGAAACAAACCTAAAGCTAATTTAAACCAAACTGTTGCCCTCCCATCCCCAATCATGCAACACTGGGCAGGGTTTTTATTTTAGTACACTGTGCATGTGCCAAAAACACATTTATCAATGCCTACATTTATTCCTTACAGCTTGTCTCAAAGAGCAAAGCTTTTGACAATTCCACAAGGGACCCTGGCCTCTTAGTTCTACAACTGCCACTGACTGGCAAGTGAAAAAGTGATCACTAGCAACAGCAATATTTACATTATGCAATTCTTGATAACTAGAGGATGCTCAAAGGGTCAATGCCCCTGCAGCCTAGTCCACGACCAGGCCTCTAGTGGATTAGGGTTTTATGAACTAGGCTGTTACTGCTACCCATGCACAAAATGCCACATGAACCACAGCCCAGCTAGTAATGTAACGACTTTAGGTTCCTATCAGCTCCCTCTGGAAGCCAGAGGTTTAGTAATTCTACCTTACCCAGGCTGGGAGGCAGTTGAACAGTTTGGTCCCCAGACATGTCTGTACTTGTGGCACAACACCCCCCCCCCCATGCACGTGTGCGTGTGTGGGTGGGTGGGGGGTTCACCACATGCTCTCTTGTAGGGAATGATTTCAGTGTGCATATTTGGGCCTATACCCAAGGATTTTCCAAGGAAAACAGGTCTAGTAATTAAACCATTGACAGTTTTGCAGAATTAAAAGCTCAAATCCAACCTGGCCCATTATCTAGTTACAACTCAGTCTGAAAAGTGAAGTTCATCATACGCAGGGGAAGGGGGGTGTTATGCGTGTATTTTTATAGTATTTTTATTAACACTGTCTCCCACAAAGGCAGGGTGGCCCAAAAAAATTTTTCACTTCACTGTCTTTCCAAAGGTGCACTCGTGTTACAGATACAAAACTGCAACATTAACACCCCTCCTTCAGAGTGCAGGCATTGTACTTCCCATCATCAGGACTCCAGTCCAGCCTGCTCATTTCCCTGAATCCCAACATTTAGGTTACCTTCTGCACATTCCAACAGCATGTCAAGTCCTAAAAAGCATTAGTCTCCATTTGCTACTGTAACATATGCATGCTTACAGGAAGTCAAGCCCCTCTTGCACAAAACTTTTACCCCCCCCCCCCTCCTCAAACCTTTCCTAGGCCAACCCCTACCCTGCCTTCCCTCCACTACAAATTTGTATACTGTCATTCCATCCTCTACACATCCAAACCATCTCAACCCTTCCTCAGCCCTGGGATAATAGTTTTGGTAATCCCACACCATCTAATCTCCAAACTATGGATTCTCTGCATTACATTCACATCACATATTGCCTTCAGACATAACATCTCCATTGCCTCCAGCATTCTTGTTCCAACATTTACAACCCATGCCTCGCCCATACAAGAGCATTGGTATAACTACTTATATTTCCCCCTCTTTGCTTTCATGGATAAAGTTTTTGTCTCTACAGACTCTTCAGTGCACCACTCGCCTTCTTCCCCTCGTCAATTCTACGATTCACATCCTTCATAGACCTATCTGCTGACACGTCCACTCCCAAATACCTGAACACTCGCCTGCTCCATACTCTCCCTCCAACCTGATATCTAATCTTACATTACCTAATTCTTTTATCCTCATCACCTTACTCTTTCCTATACATATATTCACTCAACTTTCTTCCTTTTACATACCCTACCTAACTAGTCAACCAACCTCTGCTACTAAAACACCCTGAGCCATACATTATAAACCAAGTACAACACTGAGCACCAGTTAGCTTTCTAGGGAACAACTAAGAATTAACCAAAAGGCTTGTCAAGGGCCTTGTGTCTTAGAGTGGTGAAACACTGGGGTTTTGTAAATGTCAAAAGTTAAAGTGCAAAAGTGGTATTTAACCCTTTGAGGGTTAGTCACGTACAAGTACGTCATTGCAGCCAGGGTTGGTCATGTACTTGTGTGCCTAAATTCTCGTGCCTTCAAATCTGGTGGAAGAAAGCTGGCAGGCTTACATATGAAAGAATGGGTCTGGTCAGTGTGCAGTATAAAATCCTGAAGCACACTGCACGAGAAAAACTTACCGTCTTTGGCTTAAAACGACGACTTTCTAGCAAATTTTCATATGGCATTTATGGCTGTATTCTAGTTTCCTTTGTCTCATTTGACAGAATGGAAGATATATTACAGAATGAGAGACTTGATTGGTTTCATAAGTACCTTGAAATTGAGCTCAAAGTAGCAAAAAGTTATCGATTTTTGCCTATATTCAAGAGTAAACAAATCAAGCCATGCATCCAATACACAACTGGGAAGTCCAACATTCTTTCATAAGTGCACTGATATACCATTTTTACAATGATGCAGTAGTATACAGAACAGAAAAATTCAAAATGAAAAGCGAAAGTAATGCAAGAGGGGCCTAGACACATTACTAATGAACAGAAAAAGTTATTTTAGTGCCATGAATGTCAGTCTTATTCTGAACCCTATTTTGAAATTGGCATCTTTTGAAATTTGTGTGAAATTGCCTAAATTGCCAGTTTCTGACCACTTTATTGGGTAGTTTAAATCAGTAAATGGGTGGATTCTTTTACTCAATAGAACAAATGGAGTTCT